TTTCCTTTCCCCTACTGGGATCTTAATATTGGACATTTCAACATAGACAAAAATAAAAGTACTCTCACGTACTCATCACTTGGATAAATATTAATATTTTACCATTCTTACTTCAGACTTTTTGAAATAAACATTTCAGAAGTTTTCACCTTTCCCCATATCATTCTTTTCCTTTTGCCTACAAATAGGTAATACTTATCCTGAAATAGGAACATTTTCTTCCTGTCTAAAGTTTTGTGCCTTTACCATATGTGTCCTTCTTCATAACTGTGTTTAATAAGTTTTTCCAACAATCCTACGAGGTGAGATGTTATTTTCCTCATTTTATAGATGATAGCATTGAGGCTTAAGTAAAATCACCAGAGATTACACTGCTGGGAAAGGGTAGAGAGAGGGCTGCATCCTCAGGCTTTGGAGTCTTTTTTGATGTTCCAGGATATTTTTAATCCTCCCTCTCTGCCCTCTGCTATATTATTTGAGAATTTAGATATATTTCATGTTGGTATTAGGGATGTGAAAAGGGGAGAGATAGCTTGAAAGATGGCCAAATGAATTGTAAAAAAAATGTTTTTCATCCTTCCTTGGGACATATCTTCCCCAAGTCTGTTCAGGCTACTGTAATAGAACAACTTAGGCTGAGTGGCTCACATAATGGAAATTTATTTCTTCAAGTCCTAGAGTTGAGAAATCCCAAGATCAAGGGACAAGCCTTGGTGAGACTTTGGTTTGCAGATGCCTCATCTTGTCTGGAAGGGGAGGAGGGGAGAGAGCTCCTGTAAGGGCACCAGTCCCATTCAGGAGGGTTTCACCTTCATGCCCCAGTTGTCATCCAGATCCCTACTTCCTCCTAATACCATCATCCCAAGGATTAGGACTTCAACAATTGAATTTGGGTGACACAAACAGTTGAATTTGGGTGATCACAATATACTTTGTGACTTTGATGTTAGAAAAGTAAGTGGTTATCTTAAGGAAAGGGTTAGCAAAAAGTCTCTTATTACTGCTGAAGTCAAAAGGACATTAAGTTTGGGCAAGTCCCAGCATCAGATAAAAGTTGCTACATTTACCATTGATCCTGGGGTCTTTTATTCTAGGATTTTGCCCTATGTGCCAACTGCCATCTACCCAGTCAGGTTTTGGCACTGACCTGAGCACCTTGATGGCCAAGCCCCCCCCCCCGCAATCCACCAGAAAAATGTAAACAATTTAGGAACCTGGAATACACACCCAAAGCCCATGCCTAAACCTGCAGCCATTCATGCAGCTGAATGGTCAGGATTAGCTTCCTGGTGACCATATTAAGGAGTTAACAGCAAGAGTCAGAGTCCAATCGCCTTGCAGAGGGGTGGTTGCCTGTACAAGTCCATAGGATGGTACCAATGCAGTTGATACATTAAGCTCTGATTTGGGTCCTGCTGAAGAACGTTGGAATCCTATCTTCACCTGATAAATCTCAGTGCTGTCATCTAACAGGTGGAGATGATGATAAGCTCTTCTCCTAAAAAGTCACTGGGGGTCTGTTTCTGAAAGCAGCCTCCCAGCATCATGTATATACCAGGTGTGTAACTGATATGGGTTGAATGTGAATCTGGATGCTTCGTCAACAGATTCCTGTGCTCAGCAACGAGTACAAGCTTTGAGAATCAGGTCAGGAAACCTACAAGATGTGCACATGTAACTGAATCTCAAAGGTCAGAGCAGGTAAAGCTTTGGACCCAGGAAGTAAAGGGACCCTGAATCGGAGCCCCTATCACAGAGGTATAAATGTAAGCATGAGTGATTCTTGGTTCTCACATTTATTTTTCTGCTTTCTGGTGGATTTTGGTGGCCTTGGCCATCAAGTTGGTTTAGGTCACTGCAACCAACATAACAGCATCTGTGTTTGTGCTTTACCTACAACAGTGTGGCTGAATAGTTTTGAGATTTGGCTTTAAATTCACACAAACTTAGACATGAGTCCTGGCTACATGATCTTCACACAGTACATCAACTAACTTGAATTTCATCTTCTTCATATATAAAATAAGGATGATAAAATTTAGTATATGATGTCGCCATGAGAATCAAATGATAAAATGCACATACAATGTTGCTGTATTTCCTTGAAAATACAATCGAGTATTATATTAATTTTTGCTTCAAAAGACACAATAGGGCTTATTTTCAAGAGACGTCTTATTTTTTCATGTACAATAATCTGTGATTTTGCATTTATTCATGTATAAAAATCTCCATTTATTCAAATACAGTCATATTATTTTCTTCAGGAACATCATTATAACTGTCCAAACCCCAAATTTGGCCTGAATTTCTTGGAACTTCATTTCCTGTAGAACCATTGGCTCCCATCTTTCATGACCAGCAACAGAGCTGTCCTTGAATGACCAGTTCTCGTCCATGTAACCTGCTTATAGTGCACTGGCAGTACAGCTGTCAGTGATTTTATCCCATGAATTCTTCACGCAGGTCATAACCTCTTGCAGGCTGGGCTTTGCAGAGTTTTCATTAAATCACACGTTAATTGAAGATTTATGAGGCAGGAGTGGCTGCAAAAACAATGACAGCTAAGAATGATGGTCCACACAAAAGCAGCAAAAATTGTAGACACCAAAATTCAGAAAATGTTTCTTTATTTCACAGGAGTGCATTAAGTGTGTCCTTACAATGTGCAGCATACCGAATTGTAAAGAGTCATATAAGGCACAACCATGTCCATTTGTTATCCAGTGTGTATTTTATTCATATGTTGTGCCTGCATTCTGTTTGGTCATTCAGCAGTAAGGCTTGAAGTTCATCTGTTTATATATAGGTGTTTACCTCTCATCCAAAGGCACGCACTTGGGTATTTACAAATATTTAATTATTTTATATTATCACTTATTTTAAGTATGAACGCAAATAATATTATTGACTTACATATAATTATACATTAATGTAATTATTTTATAATCCAATATGTCTGTCATCTTTTGCAGCAGACATATTGTACTAAATGCATCTGTCTGGTTGATGAGCTTAGCTGGGCTTATTTTTGGGGTAGGGCTTATTTTTGGGTAGGGCTTATATTTTGAAAATCATGCTAAAGCTTATTTTCTGGTTAGATTTTATTTTCAGGGAAATATGGTAGCATAAATCTTCACGTGCTTTAAGTGATCAGCAAATGGTAGCTAGTAATAGTAACCCGAAGATACATTTGTGAATAGTTGGTAGAAGTGGGTAGAACTGCAACAAAAGGAGGTCCTTTTGCAACCAATGCAATAGAATGTCACCCCTGGAGTTAGATCATTGAGATTATGTCTCAATCTGAGGGATCAGTTGTGAGCATGTTGCTTAATCTCTGCCTGTCTGTTTTCACTTACAAAGCCAAAGCAGTCATAGTACCTATTTGATAGGATTATTGTGAAGATTAACTTATAGTGTAAAACAACAAGATAAAAACTTTAACAGAGCTCCCAGCACATAGCAAGCATTTAGAACATATACAAACTATTGTTAATTATTTTCAATGGTGATTGACAAAAAATTAGATACATCTGAGCATAGTATGTGGCGTTTCAGGATATTGAAGAGTTTCCTTCACTGAAAATTAGCTTGGATGGAAAGTAGCTTAGTGGGAATTTAGTTTGGTGGCTTCAGATGTTAAAATGATAGAAATATTAGATGATTACCAAATTCCTTCCTATAAGTCAAGGAGCCCAGAGTGATGGCTGCTTATCTTTAAATTGTGACACTGTCCCTAGCTATGTTACCCGTGGACCATCACTTAACTTCTCTGTGCCTAAGGTGGGCCATTCCCAGGAAAAATGGGTAACATTTCTACCTCATATGAAGATTAAAAGGCTTAATGTGTGAAGACTGCCTCAGATGATGGCAGTTTTACTCCAAACATGAGATTCTTCCTCTTTAACCTCCCTTTCTTCCTCCTCCTCCTCCTCTTCTTCCTCCTCTTCTTCCTCCTCTTTCTCCTCCTCCTCCTCCTCCCCCTCCCTCCTCCTCCCTGTTTGTTTCTGTTTTCTCACTCTTGGTCCTTTCTTCCTTCTCATTTGTTATCACTCGAAATAGAAGCCCCTCGTGGGCTCATGTTGCTTCAGAATTTCCTTGAAGTCCTGGCCCTGGAGCTGGCTCATGGCTGTGAGGGTGACTGGACCTTTTCAGTTGTATTTTGGGGGCTTGCACATATGTCTGTTGAAAACAAATTTTGGCAACAATCTGTCAGCCCTGCAATGAGGGCCTGCTAATGAGGCACTTGGCAGTTGCTTTTTATTTACAAAGATGACAAATGCCACCGCTTGGTTGCGCTCAAAGCATTTCAAAGGCCAGCGAATTCATTATAATTGTCAAAGTTGGCTATACTGAGGCTCATTTTGTCAGAGGACTACTTTGCTTTTGAATTTCCATTGTGTCCTTCTTGATATTGCTGCACAAGGAAGAATTCTTTAAAATTTCTGCCCCTTTACCTGTCTGTCCCTGAACTTTTCTTTGCACGGACTAAGTTTGGCAAAATCCTATTTTATACATCATTTGCTGCTGTTAGAACTGTTATTACTTTTAGAATCTTTGCCAAAATCCCTGAGGCTTTCCATGCCCCTAAGATAGGGGTTGACAACATGTGTATGACAAAAGGGCCAGGCAGATAAGTGAACAAAGGGGAGCCAGAGGCTGGTGAATCAGAGGCACCTTCTATGGGCTGCCCCTCACCTCTGTGAACCATGGCTCTGGGCCCGAGGGTGTTGGCAGCACTGCTGGGATGGCTGATTTTCCAAAGAAAGAGGATATTTGCATCTTTCTGTGAAATGCTGCATCTTTGGATGTTGTTTGAACATGGTGGCAACTGATCTAAAGGGTTTTGAAGACAGTGAGCTTCCAGACTTTGATCTGTACTAAATGTCTGAAGCAATTTGCAGTGGCTTTCTTTGCTAGTTAAAAATAAGCACACAAACCCAAAGTGCCAACAGCCTGTAAGAATAAATGAGACCTGGTTCTTTGTTTTCTCTTTACAGACTGGTATAGGGGATATCTCATGAAGCATAAAATGTTACAGGTAAGTCCCCTTGGTTTTCATTTGGAACAGTGGTGGATGTCATCACCTGGCTCTGCTCCCAGCAAATGGATCCCTCAGTGTGTTCTGAGCTGACCTCTCTACTCTGACATCCTCTCAGCTTCAGTCTGCTTCCTTTTCCCCTGTCTGCAAGGCCAGTCTGTGGTGCTGTGGTATGCTTGCAACCTCCACGGATTCACTTCTGATTTCTCTCTCCCTTGAGTTCCTGTGGAATGTTGAATTTTTTTACCTGATGTCTATTTTCTACTGCTTTCCTTTAATGTTGTTTAAGGAATTTATGTATCCCTTCCCCGTGTGACACAGAAAGGTCAGGCTCAGTGCACTTCTGAGGGATTCTCTTGCTCCTGCCTCCTGTAATGCCATCATCTCCTGAAAGTAGGCACTTGCTTTATGTTTACATTCTCCCTTGCTCCTCTCTCTCCCTCTCTCC